GGGTGAGGGCGTGGGCCGAGGAGACCAGGTGTGGGGTTGGGGAACTGCCAGGGTTGAGATCCGGTGGGTTGCCGCTGATTCGAGCCGCCACGACCGCGGCCACGTCCTCGTCCTCGGTTGCCGCCGTTAAAGCTCCGAGGGGAACTGCCGTAGCCACGTCCAGGGCCATTCTGCCGCTGCTGCCCGCCTCCTGCAGGATTCCCGCCCCTGCTCCCGGTGCTAAGGAGGGCCGTCGAAGAGTCGGCGCCGTGGGTGGCGTCGTTTTGCTGTTGTTCGACGAGCAAAAGAGCCGAACGGACCTCCATAAAAGTGGGGAACGGAGTTTGGTATTGAAGAAACGTAACCTGAGACCGGATGTTTTGAGGCAAACCTTGGAGAACTTGTAGAACCAGTGCATGTTCCGTCACCGGGGCATCCACATCATCGAGATAATCGGCGAGATTTTTGAGGAGATGGCAATATTCGTTGATCGTTCGAGTCCCCTTGACAGTTGTCCGGAATCGGTGCTCCAACTGCATTGCACGAGCATGTTTATTATCATGAAACAACTTGTAGATCGCCGTCCATAGGGAGTGAGCCGTGGGGCTGTTGGCGAGAACTAGATCCGAAACTTCGTCAGTAACGGTGGAAAGGATCCACCCTTGGAGTAAGGCATCAAACTGGAGCCATTCAACGTCGTCGGAGGATGAGGCGACGTTGGTTCCGTCAAGAAATCGCATTAGGTTGAACCGGAGAACAAGAAGACGGAATAATTTGCTCCACTTTTTGTAATTTGGTTCGAAGATGCTTAGTTGAACCGGAATGTGGAGTTTGATATTGGAGATGGTGGTGAAGGCAAGGTGAGGAATTTTGGTTGGAGGAGTAGAATTTTTGTCGTCGGCCATGGTGTCGCCGGTGGGGAGGTGCGGCTGTGAAAACGCCGAAAGAGAGGAGAGAGATGATCGGCAAGGAGAGGGCCGAAGATGGGAGAGAGCCGTGAACTAGAGAAGCTCTGATACCATGAAAGATTGAATAATTTCCAATAATTATAATGTGTATAATACAAGATATATATATACTAGGAGATTCCTAGTTATGTTAGGAAACATATAATTAAGGTAACCTATACACATGGTAACTAGAATATACAATAATAACTACACAATATATTAAATATAGAAACACTATATTTAACAAAAACTTTAATACTCCATCTGCTTCATTTTGATTATATTTTTTTCTATATTTCATCTCGATAACTTTTATTTATTTGACGTAATTTTTAATATGTAATTTTTACTTTTTTATCGATAAACCAATTTATAAATAAAATATTTTTCAAAAAATGGAGAGATATTTTTATCTAGTTTACGGTTACATGACGCATGGTGTGACGGATTGAGTATGCAACTCCCCCAAACCTATACGACTTAAACCAAAAGTCCAAAAGGCAGTCTTGAACTTTGAGTTTAAGAAATCAACTTTTAGTTAAAGAAATCAAAATACTTCCAAGTTCCAACTCTGATCCCCCTTCTCATAATGTTTTCCCATTTATTTTATTTAAGATTATTATAAAAATAGAAAATAAAATTTATATATTTAAAATCCACGTAAAAAATTTATTAAAATAAGAGACGACATTAAATTTTATTTTATTAAATAATCAATGAAAGCATTCAAATAAAGAAAAGTTTTCGTGATTTTTAAATAATAATTGTACCATTCTTTTTGAACTTTTTGAACGGAGGTGGTAACAATTACTCCGTAGTAAGAAGTGTGGTATAATATACTCAATTTAAAACTATTGCTAAATAAACTCTTCATTTTAACTATATTTACGTTTTTTGTATCAAACAGATAGGTTTATCTTTAATGTCTAATTATTTAAAAATGGAAAAGAAAGAAGTGAAGGTAAAGATGTCTATTTCTTATAAATTGAATGGATGAGTCAAAATGTCAAATAGGCACGGTTTAATACTTTAATTAACACAATCCTTACAAACACAAGTACACAACAAATTGTAAGCATTCGATACCTAATGGATCTTAAATTACATTAAAAAAATACTCCGTATTAGATTAAACTTACTATATCACGTTGACAATCACACCTTTTGAGATACTTTTTTACAATTAGCATTTGAGGAAATGTATGATCGATTATATTATCTGTGCATGTCTTTGAAATATATATATAGTGTCCGAGACTTTGATTTGGTCATTTAAGAGCATACTAACTATTAGTCCATACGTAGTATTCAAAAAAGGATGAATCACATCTTAAAGCTCATCAGAATTGATTGAGATAGTAATATTTGAAAGAAATAAATCAAATTTTAATCCTAAGCAGATGAATGATAGAGTGTATTTCGTGTACAATAAATTAAGGAACTCAATAATATACTCCGTATATGGTCATTCATTCTTCATCATTGTTATAAGTAGAGAAATCAAACCCAAAATTTGCCTCTTTTGGACTATTTATTGATCATTTGAGTTATGCTCCAATTAATTCTCTAAATATTACTTCCTCTGTTCGTAAAAGATTGTCATAAATTAATATTTTTGGTCAAACTGTGATATTTTTTTACCACAAATTAAATATAATTTAAAATAATTAAATATTATAAAACCTGATATTTCAAAACTGTATTTTAAAACAAACCTAATTTTACAAAATTTTAAATTATAAGTAAATATAATTTTTCAATAATTCACGAAAAAACATATCATAGCTTGATCAAAAAAATCAAATTGTGGTAATCTTTTAGTGATGGAGGGGTATAATAGGTACGGATGGAACTTTTAGATACGGTTCTAGTACGGCACGTCCACCTCAGCAAAATGAAATGGCAAAGAAAGCATTTTCCTAATTTACTTTACTCTTTCTATTGATGTTGAAATGACAGCAACAAAAATAAAATGAGACAACACATACATTCAATTCGCACATCTGGTTTTCATTCCTAAGCTAACACAATATTTTTAGGCATAAGTTGGGTCCAAACTCCAAACCTGTAAAAATTAAAATGTTCAAGAATGACCGTCAAATTTTCAAATTATGTGATGAATATTTTTTTTTTGATGTTTTAAATTTGTTTTATATGAAAAGATCCATATATGCACACTTAAATTATATGACAGTCTCCAAATATTAAAATTCTAATATACTTTTTTCAATAGTTTAAGAAAGATGAAATAGTAATGTTGTGTGTTGGCGATAGAAGAAGGAAGCTGGACCGAAGAAGGAAACTGAATCCCTTTGGGATTCGATTTAGTATCTTTCCTAGTTTGTTTATTTCTTGTTTTAGTAGGAATAGAAATATGGTAGGAATAGAAGTTTACTTATATGCTTTACTCTCTTTCTATATAAAGAGGGTTAGACCTTTTTATTCATAAGCCAATTCAATATACAGAAATATTTTCTCTCTTATTTTCTACAT